TCCTTGATTTTTTCTGTGATTGCATGAAATTGTCTTCCATAATTACCCTTTTCTTTGGGAAGCTCATAAGAAATTACATTAAAAAAAGTACCAATACGGACTGTGTCATCATGTGTCTTTAAAATTTATTCAAATTCTACACCCAACCCGGTAGATACAATTTCTAAAGGTCACCTGAAATAGTCTTTAATAATAACAATTATCGAGTGATCAATAACAACTTCACTTTTACATTATTTGGCAATTTCTGACAGAAATAAAAGAAATCAAATATAACCACTCACCAATTGTTGCGCTGAAATTAGATTTGAATGAATCGTTGCAGAACCGATAAATAAAACTACTTTTACCAACTCCACTGTCACCAACAAATACTACTTTGAATACTCTCTCTGGATTCTTGGGGAGAGGTTGAAGAATTTCCTAGAATGCATAAAAACACACATATATGCCTGGTCCCTTGTGCAAAGTATTGTTCAGTCAAGTAGTTATTGAGTTACAAAACAAAAAAACTTTTAGAATTGTAATACGTCAAAATATAAAATATTTTATAACATATTAATGATAATCTGCACAGATTTTCATTCAAATTTAGTCTTCTTTAGTATGTATAGTAATATATATGCTGATATTTTTTCTTTATTGGCAAAGTACAAAGTACATACGCGGTTGAGTATGGTAATGTAAGTGCATGACATACGACACATACAATAATACGCAATATTTATGCAAACAAATACAATTCATAACTCCAGAACTTATGTTACATGTTACCGTCATTTTATAGCTATACTAGATTCCAGGACCTCTGATATACATTTCTGAATTATGTATATTGGTATAAGTGCAACAAATACAAGCCATGACTCTAGGACCATTATTTCATAGCAAAACCAGGGGTACCACCATAGGGAGGGCAGTCAAGCATGTGAACACAATGATTGAGCAAAATTAACAGGATTTCAAAAATAAAAACATTGTTTGAGAAAAATTAACAGAAACACTCTATAGTATGGTATACTAAATTTCAGTCCATTACAGATCTCTTTCTGCCCAGAAAACAAATCTGAATTGCATATAGTGGTAACATATGACACAAGTTCTGAAGTAAAAAGCCATAGAAGCAGCATGCAATCAGTTTCAGTTCATCTCAAGGAAAATGTAGTCCACCAGCTCTATATGAACTCATTAACAAATATATTAGTAGAGGTAAAACTGGGTTTATGACAGATATAAAATAAATTGTAAGTTATATTTATAGGAGAGTTTTAACATTAAATATATATGTTTGAGAAATAACTACTAACATTTCAAGAACATGGAGAGGATATTAAGATGACCCAGTGATTGTTGATTTTTTGATCTCAAGTTATATCTGTTATAGTTGAGAATTTTATTGTTTTCACTTAAAACAAATTGAAGCTGTTAAAAAGTGTTTTAAGGGCACTATATGTTAGTCTAAGAGTCGTCTACGTATTTATCCTCTGTGGTTAAAATGATTCCACAGCTAGGGAACAAGACACAAGTGCCTTATTGTTTCTGTGTTACAGGTAGTTTTGATAGATCTCAAAGCATAATAATATTTATTAACTTATTTTCCCAGAGAAGGACATGAGTTCATATTTTAACGTCACTGCAGTACATGTGCTGTGTATGTGGTCTTTAGGTAAAACATGTCGAACATGTTAGGGGAACCATAATAAATAAATTATGATGAGCAGGTTAGGGGGCCATATTTAATAAAATAATGATGAGCAGGTTAGGGGGCCATATTTAATGAATTATGCTGAGCGGGTTAGAGGACCATATTTTTTATTTATTTCTCATGAGTCAAACAGGGCAGCCAGAAATAGGAAATATAAATAATAAAACAATATTGCGAAAGATTTTTCATATGGGATGTCCTCTATATCTGAGGTTTTTATTTTTCACCCCAAATTTACATTAAACAATATTGTTTTACAGGTGATTGCCAGTTTTTATCAATCATGTCAAAAATGTAACTTTATCTAGATTTAATTGAGGACGTTGATATATTCTGAAAACCAGTGGATATATAGATTTTTTGCCCATACTGCAAAGTTTACTTAGAAAGGTATCCTTCAATTCTAATACTAAATTTACACCACTGCAGAAGCAACATGGACACAGTAATGATTGTGGTGGAGAATGAAAGGTGATCTATGTCAGCTAGAACACACAGGAATATGGAAAGGGAGCGGATGAGATGTTAGTAGTTAAACTCACATGCGTTGGTGTTGAAGTAGCTTGACATCCTACCGGTTCTCCACGTGGTGATGATGGTGATATACTTTCAGCGCTTCTACTTTGAGAATCTCCCCCTATCATTGTTGCTGCCCCATTTCTGAATGTGAAACAAAGTCTACATTTCAGCATATATGTTCACATACAAGTAACATATTTGCTCTAAAAGCATATAAGGTTATGGGAATAACAGAAACAAATTTATCATCAAAATAAGACATATTTCTATTTATTTTTTTTCATTTGTAAAAGTTTATATTGTAATTATTGATATTGAAAAATAATGCAAACATTATCATTCAAAACAGCCACTAGCAAATCATATGCAAATGAAGTCATCCCAACAACATATTATATACGCTTCTAGGCACTTCTAATAGGGTAAATATGGTACTTATTTAAATTCAAACTACTCTTGAATGGATCACATGAATTAAATTCATGGATATACACAGCTGCATACTTGCGAACATACTCAAAGCAAGTCTTGCACTGAGAATCTTTCCTATAATTGTTTTCCAAGTCACGTAAAAAATAGTAAGTTCTGACCAAGACCAAAACACTGGTGATGCATAAACATTATAATTAATATTGTAATACAAGTATAATAGTATAGGAGTGAACTCCTTTTCACTTATTTTGCCACCCACTAAGAAAATTGTGTAATACTGCAGAAGACAGCACTGTGTCCTCAAGACTCAATACTGGGAGTAACAGTGTCTTTGGCAAATGCTTTCTATGCATCGTCGTGAAGTAGTACATTACTTATGTAAGATAAGACCAGACTTTTTTTTTATTCCTTGTTTCTCGAGTTTTTATAAGTCAATTTTTTCGAGGAGGGCGTAAAAAAATATTATTAATTCTTTTTTTCCCATTTGATTTGTGTGATTCTCAAAGAATTGTAAGTGAGATCATTGATCGGAGAGAAGAAATGAAATAAAATTTTATTCCATGTATAACCTGGTTGGCAATGTCGCCAATTGTGGCACAATTTTCAGCATTAATGAGGGATTTCTCGGTTTTTGACGACAGAGTCTCAAGCAGCACGCAGAGAGGTCAATACCCGAGATTCACTGTCAACCAACACACATAAAGTATAGATCTGCGCGAGACTTCGTTACTTTGATCATGATACCCCCATGAAAATGCAACTTGGATTTGTTAGGCGGCGGGCAAAAAAAAAATGAAGATACAAATAAATTACGCTGAAATAAAATTTTATTTTTATTTTATTTTTGTCTCCTGTTCATTCGGCAGGTTTGCGAAACAAAGGATAATAAAAGTCTGATGTAAGTTAGAAAATAATCCAAATATTAGTTTTACAATTCCAAATTATAGATTCCCGTACAAAAAATATTAGGAGACACCTAAGGCAAATGTCTGTTACTATCTTAGAAATTTTTAGCAATGAAAATTGAATGGTTTCTGATATATGATAAGTCAATCAGTGTAAATGGCCATACCTCATTACATGTTTACTTTGTGTTCCAAGACTACTATCATCTGTATAATGTAATATATTCATTTCTTCTTTACTATTGTTATTTACTCCAGAGTCATCATTATCTTTCATCCTCTCAATATAATAAGCATCGTCATCAACTTCAATATCATCGTCATCATATTCTATATCATCTATTTCTTCTAAACTATCTAATGTTTGTGAGCCCTCCAGTGATGTCCGTAATGACCCTTGGTTGGCTTTCCTACAAGGAGATTAATGAAAAAAGAGAAAGAAAAAGTAATTTAATAATTAATTGGCAGTAATGAAATTGCATATGTAGAAGCAATCACCGATAGCATAGGGGTTGCACCAAACTTACAACTGGTAGAGTTCAAATCGTACTTGAACACTGATTAGGAGGCAATTTTAAACCCTCACTCTAGGCAAGTCTGTCAATGACTCAATGGGGAAAATAATTATTTGAAGCCATGTCCAAGATTAATTCACTAAAGTTTGCAACTTTGGGGGAACCTTGAATAAGATCTACAGATGCTTGTGTTTTACAAGGTTCGATTGACATCAGCATAGTCTAGTATAATGCACTATATGTATATCATCAGCATTTACAATCTGCAGGGACATTTGAAGACAAGAACTTTCAGAGGGCACAAAATTCATGAACCTTATTTGATATGTGATATGTAGTGTAATATCTTCTCAGTTGTTCCAACATTATGTATGTATGCAAGTTTCTTTTGATATTCTCTCAGTTTGTGTGTGAAACGATTCAGAGTACAATTATAGGGAAGTCAACACCAATATATGTATGCCATGGTAGTGAACATTTCAAATTTTATGTCAGAAATCATTAAGAGATTTTTCCTGTCTGTAATTTACTTAATATTTTGATATTTGTCTGTAAAGGAACAATCAGAGGTACATTACTTGGGGTTTGCAACGCGCATAGTACTGTATTGTGACATCATGTCAAGATCTCATTCAAGTCTCTTCTCGTAGATAGCGAGACTGAGGCTACGACCTTCTGACATGACATATATCAATGTTCAAGGTTTGTAATGAAAAAATAAAATTTTTCTTGCCACTATCTTAGTGAAAAATGTAATACATGGAAAATGTACAGAAAATATAGTTCTCGTAATCCGTCATATCGTGGGCAGCTATTTTGATCCACCTGGACATCCCAGTATCCTAAGTTACCTCGGGCATGCGCATTCGCATTTTTCTGAGTTGGAACGCTTATGCGAGAGCGAGATTGTGATGGGATCTTGGTATCATGTCACCGTTGTTGCAAACCCCAAGTAATGTACCTCTGGAACAATACATTCCTGTGGCTAACTTTGTATTCACCAACATAATCCAACTGTTGACTTTGCCTTGCAGCACCAAGCAGCAAAAAAGAACATGCTCACTATAAACATTAGGGTAGGTAATTGAGTGGTGCCTTTGTTCGTGCATGTTTAAGTGTTTGTTTTCAAGGCGGCGTCTGGAAATGCATTGAGTGGTTGGTTCACACATTACATTGTAGTTTGATCACCAGCGAGTGACCAAAATTTGATCAATCAGTTACAAATATTATTTGAAAGTGCAAATATGGAAATTAACAAGGCTGAACATGAACAATGAAGTATACAACCACTTGCTTTTGATCCTTGGTCACTTTAATAGATACTTTATTTATCTATTTATTTTTCAATGTTATGTTAAACATTGTACTTTTTGTGTCAAATAAAGTATTTATCTATATTATTGTGAAAATTATTATTTTATTAAAAAGCAATAATAAGTCGTACAGGGTCAAGATATACCAGCCATATCAACTGAATTGCCATCTCTACTTGGAAAGCAAATGTCATTTCACTTGAAGGAGGAATCAAAACAGTACCTGAAAAGATTCTCCCAACACCACAATGGATTGGTACCATTGCATCAACAGGGTCGACTCAACAGTTCAGTAAAACAACCCACAATTTTATTCATATTATGTACATGTATAATCTATATTCAGTATTGATATCCTTATTCAATACAACATTTTATGTTTGTATTGAGTGTCGCCGGTATAAACTGTTTTTCCACTCTACCCCACCAACACTTCTAATGCACGCGACCATCACTATCACTGAATAGACTGGGGAAGTCAGTTGTCAAGAACAAAGACCACCACTCAATCAGTGTACTGTATTTTGTTGGTTGCGCACTATAAAAGAAAGTCAATAGCTGGCTGATGCTGGTAGTATTTTTAGTGGATTTGATGCAACAGGGATATTCATTATGTTTTTAATTGTTTGTGAAGGAAACATTTAATAGTTTGTTGATTACCTATTAATGCATACAGCTGTCAGTAAAGTGAAATTAAACCCAACTATCAGTCAATCCCTGTAATACATACTATATCTAACTTTATATATTAATATCTAGCATAGTTTACAAAAACATATTTGCATACAATTATTTGTCTGTGGTGCTTTGAGTACCGGTATAAAGAATCAACAGAATATTAAATGTAGAATTATTCATAAGAAATTTTACAATTAATAAAGTGGAATCTAAATTGTTATTTTACTTTATGTAAAACTATAGATGTCTATGTATTTATCCTGCATGGTAATGATTCACTTGGGGAAAACCCCAATGTCAAAAATTTATATAAAAAAATAATGGCACCTCAGTATGTACCATCTGTGATTGAAAGACGTGGTAGATTGTAACTAAGCTTCTGATGCACAAGTGTCAACATAAATAGCTGTTTTCACAGTTTTTCATTTTTCATTGTCACAGTTTTTCATTTTGAATAAAACGTTACATGGGTCCCACAGTTTTACTTTTTTTCTAATAGTGAACATTTTGTGTAAATTATTCAGTATGTGTATTATTATTTTTTATGATTTTTATGATCTAAAGTGTATACAACAAACAAGTCCAATAACATTGTCAGTTTGGAAACTCATTTACAGTGAAAAGATTTTTATGACCACAACAATTGTCGACTTATACCGATACTTATTACTGTAGTGTCCTATTAATTCCATAGCAAAACTTTTGTAATAATCTGTGGCTACTCAATACTGTAACATGAATTAAGTTGTGTTGAAAAAAGCATACTAGAGCACTTTCTAGAAACATTCCTGTCGGTGGACCAGTACTGTAGACACAACAAAATGTTATTGCATGCAAATTTCCAAGCTACATTTTTTAAAACAAAACAAACCAAACAAAATGCAATAGAGCATTTTTATTTCAATAACTTTTTCGATCTTACATATTCAGATGTCAAAATAGAACATAGCTTTCTGAGAACCATAATCTTTCCAGTAATTGCACCATGAACAAATATTTATTTTTGGAAAAAATTATTTTTAGCAAAATACAGTTGATCCAACTAATAAACAGATTACTGTAAGGAATAAAGAATCACTGAATGTCTGTGCGAAGTTGAGGAGACATTGAATAAAACAAGAAAAGATGAATTGGTGAGTGTGACACAACTTAACTATAGCTGCTTCAAGTGGAAGTTAAGGAAGAGTTTATATGTGGCACTTAAACTGCCCTGGTTTTCTGCACCTCATCTAAATGAGTGTACAGTCTGATGGTCATCAGCTCAGACATGTATTGTCAATGCATTAAATCCCAACCACAACAAGAATTGCTCACTGAATTATACCACTTGAAAAGTTTGTGTGGATAAAATCTGTACATGTACAGTTTGATTCAATCAATTCAGAATTCACTAAAACTAAAACTAAAAGACTCAAGCATATGCAGGTATATCAATGTCTCTATTTCATGTTCATGAAAGATAACCCTTAATGAATTACTGATTAGATAGACCAACAAATTAAAAATATCACAAAATAAACAAATCTGATAAACTTAGTGCTTAAGGTACCTCCATACCAAGCACCAAAGCAACCAGGCTAGAGATTTTCAAGAAGAACTGAAAATAACCATTCTGTATGAAATCCACCCAAGGTATATATACATAGCAAATATCAAGGTTTTTAAGTCGAATGGACAATTATAGTTCTGATATATACATGTTGGACAACAACAATATGAATAGTTTTGCTGTCATCACCATGACAGCAGACCTATTACAACCAAACACTTTAGCAAGCTCAGTGTAGTGAACTAAAAGCAACAAAAGTGACTAAATTCAAACAATAGGGGTATACCCACATCATAAATACTAGTGCTGAAAAATCCTGCATAATATGTCACTTTACCGCCATGGTCTAAGATGACAAATTCCTAATCAAGAATTATTTGAAGAAAATAGTCATCATTCAGAGAAAAATAAATTCAGGAAAACATACTGTAAATGCATTTATTATTCATTGGGCTTTAATTTCGCTAATTTCGCTGTTAAAGGTATTGTTAATTAAATCCACATGAACATATAAAATAACAATAGAACTCATTGTTTCATTGGAAAATTCATGAATTTAAAACCTAGTGAATTGCTCAAAACATCAAAATAGTGAAATTAAATGACAGCGAAAATAAATGGTTTTACAGTATTGTTTGCTTAACAAGTCTATATAACAAGTCAATATATTTTAATTTCCTATATATAAAAATCTGAAAAATATTGTGATGATATAATTGGCTGTTATTTTCAATGTATTTGCCAAGTAACATACAAGTTGATAACTTTCAAAGAAAAACAATGTACCGGTAAGTACCAGTCACCATGGATACAGCTAATTTACATACACCAGGATCTAAGGATTATTTAGTAAAAAATATTGACAACTAATTCTAACTACCGAATCAAGAAATACAAGTCATTGAAAATGACACAGTCCCCGTTAAATTTTGGAAAGTTCTCTTTGTGCTCGTCATATTAAAGCAGAGGGGTTGTCGCGAGCCTGTCCTTGAAACTTGAGTTCCAAGTGGCGTATACAACAGATTGTTTATTTACATCAAAACGCGTGTTCTGTGTAGTAGTAATATGGCCAAAAATAAAAACAGCCGTTATTCGTCCATCTTTGATCTGATTATGAAACACACTGATATGTATGATGTATGTGCCAATACGAATGAAAATGGTACATAAATTGTGGAAATATAGTAGTAAGGCCAAAAAGTCAGATGGCTGTCAATCGGCAATCCTTGACCAGATTTTGAAACAAATTGTCATGGACATGCATCCTAACATGTATAAAGTACATGTATGTGTCAAATTTGAATGAAAACTG